TTAGATTATATTAAAAAATAATGGATAAATATTGTGAATTTCTTTTTTCGTTTAATGATAATGTTATCAAACTTATCAGAAGATACGAAAAAATTTTACATAAAATAAATAGACAACACTTGTCTATATTATTTAATGAAACGTGTATAAATGAAAATATATATATATATATATATATATATATATATATATATATATATATATATATATATATATATATATATATATATATATATATATATATATATATATATATATATATATATATATATATATATATATATATATATATATGTGTGTGTGTGTTGTGTATATATGTTTTAAAAATAAAATATTAAAAATTAATTTTTATCGGATAACTTGTTGTATATTTTATTTTTTTTTTTTTATTTCAAATCAGTTTTCTATTCTAGTTTCTGCCTAAAAATATTTGGCCATTTCAAGCGAAAAATAAATTTTTTATTATTAAATTCAGCAGAGAATATTAGAATTGAATGACTTGTTTCTGAAGAAAATGAACTCTATCTGTAGTTTTATTTTTTTTTTATCGTTCATTTTGTTTTGACCTTGTTTTTTAAAAACGGCCTATTTTCAAGTTGTTTTTAATATAATTTATAAATACTGGCATTTCATGAGTCTCAATAATTCCCTCCTTGGTCATTTTTGTTTTTTTATTAAAATTTGAAAAAATTTTCTATGTAAATTAAGTTAATTGTTATCGTTTAGTTCTTTGGGAATTATTTATGATGTTTTTAAAATTGGTTCTATTTTGTATGAATGTATGTGTATAAGTGTGAGATCTAATCTTATAAGCAAAATGTCCTGTGCGGGTGAGAAATGTGGACAGGGCTTGATTTATGGGGTTATATATTAATTCTATCTATGTTATTAAATTTGTGGTAAGCTCGTCTGGACGAGGTTTCAGGCGCAAAAGCTATTTGTTTTCATGTTCATCTAGTATTTTTCTAAGGTTATCTTATCGTGAATTTTGCATGGCTTTTCAAATTATGTTTTTCTAGGCGGAACAGTTGTTCTATATGTTGGTATTTCTTTTATATAAACCTACATTCAACCGATTCCAATAATTATTGTTTCTGTAGAGAAAGGGCCGTTCAGATTTTCACATATATTGTTTCTAGCATAGTGTAATTTCTACTCCATATATTATGTGACTTCTACAGTTAAAGTTGTGATAGATTTTGAAAATAGATTTAGTGACTGAGCTAGTGGAATAATTGGTATATTTAATGTGATTTTAAAACATAATCTCCTTTTGTTTTTACATGGTTGGGAATATCCTGCTGTTTTTATTTTGGGTCTGTTACCTTATCATCTGAAATTTGGTTACTACCTATAATTTCCTTTATATATATATATATATATATATATATATATATGTATTAACATATTTTTATGTTTATACATTCATTTTTTATACTATAAACATAAAAATGTCTTAAAATAATTGTCGGAATTTGTCCATTTTATAATGTATATTCATTTTTTTATAATATTTGGATAAAAATTGATCAGATATAATTTTTAAATAATTTATTCAAATCATAGAAAATTGTATTTTAAAAACAGTAAAATTTCGACCTTGTTAACCGAATTCTGATTAAATGTGGCCAAATCAAAAAAATTCACGTTCATACATATATGACGGTTCTGTAGAGGATACCATTCGATTCCTGTCGAACCTGCAGGACATATTTTCTATGACAATTTTTTTTTTCAGGCTGCTAAATGTTAAATAACTATTTATTATAAACAGGGCATTTATATAAATATTTGTATCTATAAAAAAAAATGTATAAACATTAAAATGTCTTAAAATAATTTCAAAAAAAAGATGAAACATTTTTCATATATATATATAATTTAAATAAATTAAGTCTGACAAATATTTAATAATATATTTTCTGTTTATACGTTATATTAATGCATGCAATTTACTTAAGTAAATGCTCTTATTTTTTAATTAACAGTATTAATTACATTTACCAGCCTGAATGTTCAGAAACTTTTAGAAAAATATATTGTTCTATATATATATATATATATATATATATATATATATATATATATATATATATATATATATATATATATATATGTATGTATGTATATATATATATATATATGATTAATACAAATATAAAATTTGTCATGTAGCAAAATTGATGTTATATTCAGCACAAATACAAAATCATGCTATTGTTATTGTTCGTCCTATTCATTAAAAATATTAATGAAGAAATTTTTATTATGTTTAATAAAACCAGCTGTATTGAATGAACATATATATATATATATATATATATATATATATATATATATATATATATATATATATATCTTTCAAATTCAATCTCTCTCTCTCTATATATATATATATATATATATATATATATATATATATAGAGAGAGAGAGAGAAAAAGAGATAAAAATATTTTGATATTTTTTTATCCAAGGACATATTATCAACTGGGAAAATGTTGCGATTACATTCCGGTGTATGTGTCTTCCAGAATTTTATATTAGGTTTGTCAGCCGAGTAATCGAATCATGCTTTATAGAGTCGTGATCGATTGCTGAGAGATAATCGATATGTACAGTGAATGTCGGTATTCAGAGTATACTGTTCGCTGGTCAGACCCTGCCGACATTCATACTGACGAGAGACATTGATATTTGGAATTTTATAGCAAATATTCATTTACTTAAGACATTCAAAATGATTTACTGAGTTTTGCAGAATGTGCATGTGCCTACACTCACAAACATATATATGCACGGGGTGCGAGGGGTAAATTGTCGACATTTTATATTTTTAATTTCGCGCATGCGCGTTGATTTTGTTGACAGTATAGTAGGGTCAGTTGGGCACCATCTGTGAGAAAAAGAGCACCATGACGCAATTCACTCTACCAGAAATTTGAAAAAGGCATGCTGTACTGCTTAGAATTTTCACCGAAAGCTTCAATACGAACATTTCAGAGTGTTTTGATGTCAATCTGAGGACAGTGCAGAGGATTCAGAAAGAGTTGGATGAGTCTAATGGTGATTACGAAGATACGGCAGCTGGGGAAATTCACTTTTATAGTTCTGATAAGAAAAGAACTCCCTAAATTGTTGGTGAGGACCTCAGACTCAACTAGGTGCTCAATCAAGTGCCTTGAGGAGGTAGTGATGTCCTAGGTCAAGAGGGTGGCTTCTGAAAGACCCTATGTCTGGCAACAGGACTCTGCACCATGCCACACATGCAGGAGAACCCAGTTATGGCTGTCAGACAATTTCTGTGGCTGCATCAGCCACTTATATCTAGCCACAATTGTGCGATAGACCAAAAAAATCTTTGTAAGACCAAACATGAACTGAAGGTAAGAAATATGGAAGCACACAACAACTTATGGAGCCCGGAGCAGAAGAGTTGCTGGGGATTCCGAGGTTGCGTGGAGGCCGTGGATGAATTTATTGAATAAATTTACTTTTTATTATTTCAAAATATTTTTGTGTAATTTGGGTAAAATGAGATGTCAGTATTATTTTCATTTTTGCATAATTTAGACAACAATTTATGCATCGCACACTGTATAGATAGATAGATAGATAGATAGATAGATAGATAGATAGATAGATAGATAGATGTGTGTGTGTGTGCGTGTGTATTATTGGACGTTGAGATTAATAATTACCAGGCAAGATTAATATGCACGATCCCATTGAATGTTGACTGAGATCCTCTGATCTATCTATCTATCTATCTATCTATCTATCTCATTTTGTTCAATTCTTTCTAGCTAGCTAGCTATATATCTAGCTAGCTAGCTAGATATCTAGCTAGCTAGCTAGATATCTAGCTAGCTAGCTACCTCCTCGCTATGTATCTATGTCAGTGTGTTCATTTCTATCTATCTGGCTATGTATGTATCTATCATTCCATCTATCTAATCTCAATCACTTTATTTCTATCTATCTAATTTCACTCTATTTCTATCTGTCTCTCTATCTAATGTGTGATATACCGTGTCGAGTGGACTGGATTGTTTTTACAATTTCAGCATCGTTAACGTCACTTTGTCTAACGACTTTTTCTCTGTTTTCAAGATGAAAATGTTGGATTTTGAAAATAGCAACAGCACTCTCAGCGATAGCGTAAAATATTGAGACGTTCTACTAAGCAAAATATGCATTCGACAGGAGTCGAACCCGTATCTCTTTATTCAATTAGGCAAACTGTATTTTTATATATACAATATATTGATATATAGGCCACAATGCCTATACGTTGATAACACATATAATTTAAGGAAAAACATATCTCTCATAAAAATATGCATATATATATATATATAGATTGATATATATATATATATATATATATATACACACACACACAGAGAGAGAGAGAGAGAGGGAGAGAGAGAGAGATAATATTAGTGGTAAATATAGACATACATATACAAAATATATAAATATATATACATAGGTGCATACACATACATATATATTTTTATATAAAATAATTCCAAGAGGATAGAATCCAGGTAGAACTCAATGTCCAGGACAGAGTATATATAATAAAATATATTTTAAAATATAAATTCATATTTAAAATATTCCATTATTATAAATTAATAAATATTTTTTTTTTATAAGACCTACAAATTCAAATTTAAAAATTTGAATTTGTAGGTCTGATGAATTAATCGTATAACATATGATTCCAATAAATTCTTAAATGGAATCATTGGATTATATATTTTTTTATTTATTATATATATATATATATATATATATATATATTTATATATATAGATTATTTTAGAGAGAGATTTAGATAACTGAAATTAAATATTTTATATATCATATAAATGAATATACATATTATATTCCTTTTATTATAATTTTTATATATTTATCTCTCTCTCTCTTTAAATATATATTATTTAATCATTAGCTAGCTAGATATATTCCACTTATATATTTTATAGACTGAGACTAGATAGATAGATAGATATATAGATATATATGAATATATAGATTATAAATAGATAGATAGATAGATTCAAATTACAAAGTACATTAAGAGATTCTTTAAAATAAGTTTTTTTTTCTCTATATCTTTATTTTCTGTTTCCAAAGCAAATTCTACATCATATTTTAAAAACACCCTGGGGACTGTTTAAAAATATTCTCTTAATTCGTCATTGTGAAAATGGTATATCCAGTATATTTTTGAACAAACCAAATAGACTTTTTTTTATATTGTGGGGATGAACAAATATGAAATTGATCCATCTGCTCTCACACACACACACACACACACACACACATACATATATATATATATATATATATATATATATATAGAGAAAGAGAGATTTAGAGAGAGAGAGAAAAGAGAAATCTCTCTTCTAATTGTAATCAAAAAATTGTAATCGAAAAAACTATGATGAATTCTTCTACACGCCGTTTCCGTTTAGGAAGTAGATGATCATGGCTCTTCACCCACTTCCCTGTCATTTGTAGCTCTTAGTAATGTGTGTCTTCTTACCCTCCCTTCCTCTACCCGTTCTGCTATCCATTCATATAAGCTCGTCAGAATGGTGATCCATTGACGCAACTGTTCCTTTTGCCTTCACTATGACCCGTGAGTCTCAATGTTTCCATTCTTGCTTCCTCGTTGTGTGTCCAAGAAATTTTAGTTGTTTCTTTCGGATTTTTATTTTTAAAAAATATTTATTTTTTGTTTATATCCTTCCTCATTTTAATACATTAAAATGTCCATGGTATTCTCAGCATTCATCTGTGAATATAAGTTTCTCTCCCCCTTCTTTCGCTGTGAGCCAATTGTCCGGCATTCAATGTCATATTGAACGAGATTTCATAGCAACTACAGCAGAAGAATCTGCTATGATATTGGTCCTGACCTGTCATTTCAACTCTAGTCACTTTCTCACCATCCTAACTTAGCTCCTCTGTGCCTTTTCTATAAATATTTTCATGATAATTGTCCTGACGAGCTATCCTCTTTGGTACCTAGACTTTATGAATTTAAGTGCAGTACTAGATTGGCAGCTAATGTCTCATCATTTTACAGTTGAAATGGCTAGATGTAACCATAAGTTCTATTATATAACAGTTTCTTTTTCTGATAAAAATAAATGTTCATGGTAATTATTTGGATTTGCTATCCTCTTTGGTACCAAAGAAAATATGAATTTAAGCATTTTACTAAAAATTTTTTTATTTTCTTTCATTTCTATTTGATTGCATTTGCTATATATAACCTTTTTTTATTTTCATTTTTTCTTTTTTTTTCGCACTTCTAGCTTTTGAACTCTCTTCCGGCGTCATGCATTTCCGGCCGCCTGTAATAATTCAAAAATTTAAATGCAATAAAAATTATCTTCTGTTTTCTTAATTGTTTTTTTTTTTGACTCTCTCATTTTTTTTCGTATTCTGATTTTACTAAATAACCCATTGAGTTTCAAGTTTATATTTTTTTTAAAATATGGGTGAAATGATTTCTTAAAAAAAAAAATACAGAAAATATGATGGCTCAAATTTGAAATAAAAAATTCTAAAAAAAATTTTCACAGTCTGAGAAAATAGATGGTCTGTCAAAAAATATTTAAATAAAATAAAAAATAATAAAACTTTTATCTTTTTTCTTCTTAATTTTAGCCGTTCTTTTATTTTTTAAATATATTAATCACGATTTTATTTTTCTTTTTTTTTTTTTATATTCTTTTATTTTTGCATCTTAGAAAACAATTGCCATGCTCGAGTATGAAATGATAAAAAATTATTTAATGCCGACAAGAATTTTTAGGATAAATTTCGTATGAATAAATATATATTCTTTGTAAGAAATCATTTTTATAGATCAGGTTTTTAAAAAACGTATTTTTTATAAGAGGGTTTTTTGTATTGTGGATAATTTTATTTCAAAAATGTATTGCTGGTAATATTTTTTTTTAATGTACTTTTTATTTTACTATAAAAAATATTTTGATACTTTTCATAGTTATTTTACCCCAGTTTGGATATGTTAACTATTTTTTTTAAAATCAACCCTAACAGTTTCTACCAATCCGGATCAGGCGTATTTTTTTAAATAGGTTTTTTTATCGAGAATCAAATAAAATTATTGGTAATATTTTTTTTTTTTTAAATGTATTGCTGATAATGATTTTTTTTCTAAAATTTGTTGTAATGTTTTTTTTATATAAAAATCTATTTTGATACTTTCATATAAAAAATATATATATTTAAGGGTATATATTATTTAAATATAACTCGGAATCTAACAGGTGCTACTATTTTTAAACAACAGCAATTAAACGTCAAACCTACACCTTTTCCGAATCTTTAATTAAAAGTTTGTTGGGATATTGAATTAAAAACACAAGTAATCTTGAACTAAATTTTAATCTACCTCTTTTATGAATTCTTCATCTAAAACAGTTTCTTGACGTATTTAATGGAAAACTGGATAATCTTACCTTAAATCCAACCTTGGATTATCTCGTTTTCAATTCAATATATCAATGAACAGTTTTCAATTAAGATTGATTGATCGATTCGTTTTCTACGGCTTATCAACCCTTTTCAGGTTATTTAAAGCCATAAAATATTATTAGGTTTTAAGAATTATTTTTTATTATAAATAATAACGGTTTAGTGATACAAGTCAATCTTTTCATTTTAACTTAAATGCTGGGGGATGAAGAATTGGATTCATACATAATAATAAATAAACAAACAAAAGATAATATAGATATAAATTTTAAATCAATTATATATTATAATCAATATATAAACGGATCCCTTAAGATTGTGACCATTTTTAGTTTCTATAAATTTATATTCAGAAATGTAAATAAATCCAGGAGTTGCCTGTGTAGCTGACCAGAATTTAATTTATTTATTCGTTTTTTCTATTCTTGTCTGATTCTATTATGCAGGTTATTTAAAATAGCCAAAAATATTTTTATAATTGTTATGGTTTTCTTTGGTTTACTTTGTTCTACGGCATATCAACTATGGGTTATTTAATGCCGACAATAAATATTTTTTTTATTGCTGGTAATAATTTCTTTTTTTAAAATCTGTTTCTGGTAATATTTTTCCTTCAAAATTATATTGCTGGTAATAATCTTTTTCAAAAAAAAATTGCTGGTAATAGTTAACTATTTGTTCATAAACTGCGACCCTAACAGGTGCTTGAAACTCCGGGTCAAATGGACCTGGGAAAAAATTTAATTAAAAAAGAGGTGTTTCATACGCTCCTCAAAACATCCTGATCAGAGGCCTTGTTGCTGGACGTCAATTTATCGTCTTACCCTGGACGCGGATGTAATTTCGTTTGCCCAGGAAATATTTGTAGTTTATCGTCTTGCCCAGGATGCGGATGTAAATTAAAATCTTACCCAGGACGCGGATGTAAAATTGTCATACCCAAACGCGGATGTAGTTCATCGTCTTACCCAGGACGCGGATGTAGTTTATCGTCTTACCTAGGGCGTTTTAAGTTGTTATAATTTTTTTGATGGGGGTAGATAATAATGATTTAGTGATGCAAGTTTTACTATTTAACCCATTTAATTTGGAAAAAGATGAGTTTATACTTTTCCAAAAAGGTTTTCCAAATAAAAAAAAATTAAAAACCCCAAAAATTATAACTCGGCCCCCAATTTTCAAAAACTGAGCTGTTATCTTTTATTTAATTTTATCCATTCAAACATACGCATATCTAAGTTTAATTTGGGCCTGTTATTCTCAAGCATTCATTTTATCTTTCAGTAAAAACCAGGTCCAACGTTGCTTAAGTTGAATTTAAAAAATCATTAACTAGTTTTCCAGGGTTTTAATAAAAAACTCATGTAGATACTGTTTGATCTAATACAATCATTCCTGTCAAACCGAGAATTGAAGGTCGTTCTCAACGGATTCTCCTCCAGTTCCTATCCCACGAATGCAGGTGTTCCCCAAGGCTCCATCCTTGGCCCCACTCTTTTCCTTATTTTCATTAATGACCTTCCTGACGCCATAGATTCCTAAGTTGGCATCTACGCAGACAACACTACAATTTACTCCTGCCTCAAAAACAAATCTAGTGTCGGCGACAAAACTAACCTGGCCGTGCATCTCGAAAAAGACCTCCAATCGGTTGTGAACTGGGGCAGGAATTGGCTGGTCAACTTTAACGCCTCAAAAACTAAATTACTCCCCATTAACCACCATAGAGATCCTTCCCTGCCCCCCATTAAAATGTCTGATAGTCAACTTCCTGAGAGCAACTCCCTGCGTCTGCTCGGTCTCACGTTGACTGCTGACCTGAGATGGAACAAATACATTGAGTCAATTGCTTCTTCCACCGCGAGGAAAGTTGGCTCTCTGTGCCGCGCCAGGAAATTTTTCTCCCCTGAATCGATACTTCAAATATACAAAACAACCATTCGCCCTTGCATGGAGTATTGCTGCCATATATGGTCTGGGGCACCTTCTGTTTACCTCGGAGTTCTTGACAAGATCCAGAGACGGATATGTAATCTAATTGGCCCTGATCTGGCATCTCGTCTACAGTCACTCTCTCACAGACGCGCCGTCGCCTCTCTCTGTCTTTTTTTTTACAAATACTTTCATGGTAATTGCTCCGATGAGCTGCTTTCACTGGTTCCCAGACTCCATGAATTCAAGCGCCCTACGAGGCTGGCATCCCGCTCCCACCCTTACACTGTAGAAACTTTTAAATGTAGCCGTCTCTTCTACTCCAATAGCTTCATACCTCGCACCTCTCGCCAGTGGAACACACTCCCCAATTACTGTTTCCCTGAGAGCTATAATCCCCAACTGTTCAAATGTAATATCAATCGACATCTCCAGTTACCTTGATCTATCCACTATCCTTCTCCTCATCCTTTCTTCTATCACTCCTATCTGCTCTCGCTCCAAATCTTCCGCAACCCCCTGCATCCTAGTGGCTTCACGCCTTGCTTGGGGCGTAATGCTTAAAAAAAAAAAAAAGATATAACAAGTGTTAAATTTCATCATTTGTCAAAACTTTATCGAAAACAGTTCATTGCT